AAGGTTTCGACGGGAAATTTATTTTAAAAGATGTAATTTTAATGAGTTGATAAAACTAAATAAAGATGTGATTGTGATGAGTTGAGTCGCATGATCCCGGAAAAGTAACAACGGAAGCAAATATAATGGAGGAGGAAAAAATAGAAATGATATATAAGTAATTTTATAATCTAAATTTGGTTATTAGATTTTTAAATTCAAACATTTAAAGGAAAAAATTACAAGTAGATTTTTTGGGTAAATTTTATTTTATCTTGATTTTCATATAATCACATTTCTAACAAATTAATTAATATTATATTTTTTATCTACATTATCTAACTGATTTTTTTATGATATAACTAATATAATATCTTAACTAATTTGTTTGTCCCATTTTTGTTGCGTTTTTCGTTGTTGTTTTGTCATTCTTTTTCTCCCGTTTTAGGTCTTTTTGTTAGTTTTTAGTTCGTTTTGTGGTTTATTGTGTGTTTGGCTCTATTTTTGTTTTCTATGTGTTTTCGTGTATTTTGTCGGTTTTCTACGTTTTTTCTTCTTGTTATTAGTGTGCAGGTCAGAAGCCCCGCGAGGAATCGATTTAGCTCGAAAACGGGTCAGGAAATCATGGTTGAATAGATGGGTTCCTTAGCTACACATAGGAAAAAAAGGAATCCAATTTCGAGTTCGGACGAATCCGAACGGGGCCGAAACGTAAAGTCCAGCAATCTACCGACCCTTTGAAGGTTGGAAGACCCTATAAGATTGTATTCTGGTAAAAAGTTGAATTTGAAAACATCATTGAATAGAGGGGTTCGTTAGCGACACGTAGGAAAAACGGAACTCAATTCCGAGTTCGGACGAGCCCAAACGAGCCCGAAATGCAAAGTCGCACAACCCAGTCCTCCTTAGCGGAGCTATGAAATCTTAACGGGGCCAGAGAGTTTGCACTGAAATGGTTAGCGGCCTCTGAGGGGGGTTAGCGGCCGCTAACCGTGCCCAGCAGACAGTGGGTTTTTTTCCTCAAATTCCGAATTGTTTTGGGGAAATGCTCGAGAGTGGACATCTTTTGACCGATATTCTTCCTTTAATTTCAGTGTTTGGTGCCCAAGAAGACACTCCTACTTATTCTCTTCAATCTCACCTCACTCAATCATCCTTGAACCACCCAAGGGGGTTCTCCCCCCCTCTTCTCCTTCTCCATTTCACCATCTCTTCTTCATCTTTCTTTCTTGAGTTTTTCTTAAGTTTTTACTTTGCTTTCTTGGAGAACTTATTGAAGACTTATTGCATCTTGGGATTGGCTTGTATTTTGTTCTTGACATTGGAGTTCACATTAATAGTAAGTTTTATTTTCCATTGTGTTTATGATGATTATGGTTATGTTGAATGTGAATTCTTGTGTTGAAATTGCAATGAGTGGCTAATCCTCTAGCTAGGGTTAGGGGATAATCATTCTGGTTTGTTCTCGTTTATGTGCATGACGATAGCTCAATCTTGACGCGTTGTTTTAATTATGAATTGATAAAATAATACTTGATAAATTGTTATAACCTAAGAGTGACACTTAGATTAATTTGTTGATATAATCGAAGAGTGACACTTCGATTTGTGATTGAATATTGATTTGTTGGGTTAGAGTTTGTTAATTCTACATGATTAGTTGATTAAACACCTTTTAATCAAATTGCGACTTTTAGAACCGAAAGGGGAGGAGTCGTAGAGATAATCGATTTCAAAACTGAGAGGGGAGAAATTGGTGGAACTTGGCTCGTTGAGAGTAGACATGTTCGGAGACGTATTGTGTATGTGTTAATTGTTTCGTTAATTTGCTCGTTTATGTTTATCCGCATGTTACGAAGAGTTATTGAGGATAAACCGCTAAATGAGATAATTAGTCGAGCATTTTAACCGAGTTATTGATTGCCGATAAATGTGTGTAGAACCGAAAGCGATTATTTCCGATTACCTAGCTTCTTATCTTTGTGTCGGTTATATTTTTAGGTAGATTTATGTTTTGTGTTATTTCTTAGTTAATAATCAAAAACCAACAAATTGAATTAGAATGTTTAGGATTTATTTTCCTTTTGTGTGTTATCGACATCAACGCTAGATTCTGAACCGTCTTCCTTGAGAGATCGACCCGGGGAACGAATCATTTGGATTCGGTACTCGGTAATTTAAAAACAATTTGTGCTACAACATAATTAATCATTTATCTAACTAGAATTATCTCTCTAACAAACTTGCCAATTTTTTTGAAATTAAAATGATATGACTATTCTTACGGAGATACTTACCGATATATTAAACATTTAGAAACTTTTTTAAAAAAATGAGCTATCCCTCCTTTTACTTCATTTTAAATTCTAAGTTATATTTTTAAATATATTGTTGTTTATTTTTTCTTACGTGTAAATGTTTATTATTTATTATCTAAGTGATAAATATTATTGATTTATCTCTTTAATAAAGTTTTATTATTTATTTTTTTCCTTACGTGATAATCTAAATTTGGTTATTCGATCTTTTAAATTCAAACATTTAAAGGAAAAGATCACAAGCATATTTTTTGGGTACATTTCATTTTATCTTAACTTTCATATAATCACATTCCTAACAATTACAATTATCTAACTGGAATTTTTAAAATACATTTAATATAATATCTTAACTTATTGAACTTTTGTCTACCGAATTTACCTAATTAACAAACTTGCCAAAATTTTTGAAATTAAAATGGTAAGATTATTCTTACGGGTATACTTACCAGAATATTAAACAATTTAAAAACTTTTTGAAAACAATTTTAATTACTCCGTCTTCTACTCTATTTGAAATTCAAAATTAAATTTTTAAACATATTCATAAATATTATTATTTAATGTTTCCTTATGTGATATAATCTAAATTTGGTTATTAGATTTTTAAATTCAAACATTTAAAAGAAAAGACCACGAACATATTTTTTTGTTATATTTCATTTGATCTTAACTTCCATATAATCACAATCCTAACAAACTAATTAGTATAATATTTTTTACCCACATTTATATAATCGTATTTCTTAAAATATAGTCAATATAATATTTTGACTATTTAATCATTTGTATAACTTGATTTAACTCATTAACAAACTTGCTAAATTTTTTTGAAATTAAAAAAGTTTGGATGATTTTTATTTGTAAAATAATAAAAAATAGCTTTACTTTAAAGTCTAGATTCTTTCTATTATTTTTTGTACGCTAACAATCATATATATATTGGATAATTGATTTTAAAAAAATCACAATCGTAAGGTTTAATAATATTCCTTAAATAAAAAATATTGTATAAAAAGAAGTGTTTAATAATATATATTTTTCATTGTTTGTATTTATTTTATTTTCATAATAGACAAGATGTGAAAAATATAAATAATTATATTTAAAATAAAGTCTAAAAAAATATTTAAAATATGAGTTCCTCCGTGCATCGCACGAGATATACACTAGTAGTTACTTAATTCCTGTTGTTTTTTGTTGGTATAAACAATATTTTATTTTTTACAAACAATATTTGATTGATATTGTTTGGGAATTGTTCATTCAATGTTCATCACATACCAAAACAAATTTATCATTCATATCAAATAAAATCTGGCCACATTCCATTAAAATGATCTTCAATAATATTTTTTATANA